CCCCCTCCTGAAGGACCCGTCCCCCCCCTTCTCCCCCCCCCCCATGACCCTCCAAACCTGCCCCCCCTCCCACACCAGGCTCCCCCCAAACCCCCAATTAAGGCTCCGTGGCCGAGGATGAAAAGCTGCTCTCCAAGAGCATCCTGTTTTCTTTTCTTTCTCTTTTTTTTTTTTTTTCTTTTTTTTCCCTTTTTTATTTTTTTTTTTTCCCCCTTCTAAAAAAAAAAAAAAAAAGAGCAGACTGTCAATAGCTTTGATGAAAATCCTCCCCATGCAGCTTGGTACAACCACTACAACTTTTTGGCCTCTTCCATCCTGTCTTTGTACCAAAACCCCACAGTCCTCAGCAGGTGCTGTGTCACACAGCCTCTGAGGACAATGGAATCCTGCTGTGGCTGTTCTGGAGTTTGAAATACCCACAAAGCCAATACTTATTTCAGCACAGACTCATAACTCTTAGCTCCTATAACTACCATGCCAACAGGAAATAAATAGCTTGTGATTTCTACTGTCTGTTGTGTGGAGTTTCTTTTCTGAATAGTTTTCATTCACTAATAAGATATGTAATTGTGGAAACAAGTAGATAATTCGAAGTAATTGCATTTTCCTTGAATTTCACACTGCAGTCTTTACTACAGCTTGGGGCAGAGAGGAGCAAAATAAATTGAGAGTCTATTTCATTTGGTAATTACACAGCAAAATATATGCATGTATATGGTGACTGTAACGATAATTAGAAGGGTTTTCAAATCACTGATTTGGCTGATGCCAATAAAAGACTTCCAAAACATTTTGACAAATCCTTCGTAATTACAGTGGGATTCCAAAGCCATCATAAAATGCTACGGGAGAACGTCAAGTGGGATATTAAAAGTATTGAAGTTGGGTTATAGAAAGCAATGTGTGGTGTGTCTTTGTTCTTTGAATTTACACAATGTTGCTGACAGTAAGTGACATCTTTGTTGTTCCATGTCTTTTTCCTAATCTTCTAGAGCAGTATTTTTAAAATTTAATTAGGGTATTTTGTAATGTTAAGTTACTGCTCGGCTTCCAGTTCCTAGGATGAAGTCTGTAAATGTAAAAGGATGTATTTTCGACTTAACAGAGCTGACTTCTCAGCTATAGCAAATACTCAACTGAAAAATGAAAAACAGATAGAGCTTTTGTGTTTTGTTTTCATGAGTACTGCAGCTGGTGCAAACCACACCAGCTCATGCTAAACAGTGAACTTCCAGCTTCTGCTGGAAGATTGTGAGCTTTGTCAGGAAGGTAGAGTGGTGCCTTCTCTACGAAGGTGAGAATAGGCTCCTAACTGTATGTTTCTGTCTGCTTCCTTAGTTTTATGTGCATCACTTTCATTTAGGAAAAAAAAATAATATTACTGTAATGACTAGCCTTTCTGTAGCCATAAATGCTATGCAGAGGGCTTCTGCGGTACAGGTTAGGGACAGCCACTCTTCCTGCCAAATACAGACTTCTTTTCAGAGATGATTTTGTATCCTGTTTCTCTGATAGAGATACCAAAGACTTGGGCATCTGCCCATTTCTAGAAGCTGCAGCAACAAAGCTGACTGTGTTGCTGTGTTGCAGAGGACTTTAAGAATATAAAAAATTTGGACTACTTTGTGTATACCGGGCATCTCTTTCAGTAATTTTTACCCTGCAGTTTACTAGAGCAATGTTTGTTATTGCTGTTTTGGGCAGTGACAGAAGTTGTCTTTTTATGCAGGAACACGTTAAGACATGGTTATTCTGTCACACAGGACACACATGGCTTCTTCTCAGCCAGTTTCTGATGTAGAAACACATCCTAACACCTGCATGAAGAGAACAACAACTCTCCAGTGGCAAAGAATAAAAGGGAAAAATGCCTGACACTGGAAGAGAAATAAAGCTATCTTTTCCTATTACTAGTAGCATATTTTCTTTCACTTAAAACCTGACATCCCTAGGTTATATTCACTAGCTAATATTGAGTATTACAAAAGTCAGTTAACTGACATTTCAAGCGCATGATAAGCTTTTGATCCTCTTCATGAAGAGTGTCACTTACTACTTCTGGAATCATTCAGCATTGCATGAATAAGACATCAGAAATAATTTTAATTTTGTCATCACTAATTTGGTTTATGGCAACTGGTCTTAGAAACACCAGGTTATTTGCTGTAATACTTTCTACGTGCTGTTAATTCATCTTTTTATAATGAATATTTATTTCTCTCTGCTTCTCCACAGATACTTATTTAACTTGAAATTTGCTAACGTATCTTTGGTTTTAAAAATTATTCCAGTTTCATCTATCATATTCAGACAAGGAATCCCTAGAGAGGGAGCCTAGAGGTGAATCCCAGCAAGAAGTCCTAAGACGGGCAGCCAAGGATCTTCCTATCTATACACGGACAATGTCTGGAGGTAAATAGGTGTTCAGGAGACCACCGAAGGCAGGTGTCTTGCTGTACTACCTAAACTAATTTTAAAAAATACCAAGGCTTTGGATTGTAGGGAAGAACTGCTTTTCATACTTCATAAAATAACAAAGTGACCCAAGAACTTAACTTTAGTGTAGCTTTATGCAGCAACATTTATTCAGTGGAAAGATTGTTGGAAAGTAAATTGCTGTGTATAATTTGGGATTTTAAAGCGGACTGGCAATGCCTTGCTAAATGTTTGCAAGCTGACATTAACAAATGGCTTGTCATACTAACAAACTGGAGGAGTCTTTAACTGCATAGATTTCTTCTTTCATAGGTTAAAAAAATTTTTTAAAAATTAATTTTTCACTATCTGCATGTCATGTATAGCTGGATAAGAAAGTGTTACTGTTTTACTTGCTGATGGTTCAGTTGAAAGAACAAAAGTTCTTCCAAACTAAGAGTTAATCTTAAGCTACTGATCCTGTAAATTTGTGAATGCTGGCTAGCTAAGCAAATCCAAGAGATAATCTCATGTAGTAAATTAAAGCTGTTAGAATAATAGCTTAAAATAGCTATATTGTTGAACAGTCTTTAAAGGTTTTTCCAGTCTAGTGAGGATTTTGTTGGTTCATTGGTTGTTTTGCAGAGCTGAGGGGTTTGGAAGAAAAAACCCTGATTAGCACGATTAGCAGAGATTGCAAAACCTGAGCTTTTTGGGTTCGCTCTGCTAGATTCAGCATTGCGAGAACTTAAAGAATGCTTCAGTAATTGCAGCTGCTTCTGATCATGCTAAAATGCTTTCCTGGGTGTTCTGCTGGGCTGAGCTGCTAGTATTTATGTTTTCACAGACTTCAGGACTCAAAATGTGTAACTGTACATGGAGATCTAATCTTGGAACTTTTTTCTTTAGCAATCAGATACTGTGACAGATGCCATCTTGTAAAACCAGATCGTTGCCATCACTGTTCTATATGCGACAAGTAAGAAAATATTTTAAATAAGTAGTTTTCTGAAGAAATTTATTATTTTTTTTCTTGACACAGAAGCTTTTATTTTTTATGCGTAGATTATTCAGGTTTAATGTTTTGGCAGAGAAGCTTTTTTTATTCCTTAGATATTTTTTTTTCTAGCTTTAGTTGTTATTTATTTATGTATTTCTAAGGAAGTCTGTAACTTACTCTAATTCGTTTGATGGCTTTCATGATGCCAACATGGATTCCATGGTCTTACACATTCTTTATGCAATGGTTAAAAAGTCTGAATATTAATGCAGAACTTTCCTTAAGAATGTAACCAAAAATAGCTGATAAACAAAAATTTGCTTCTTTTGTTAGAATCTGAATAAAGATCACTACCCATCTCAATCTAATCATGATGTCACTTGCATCTTATCCAAGGTAATAAACTTAATATCCTATTTTTCATTGGATAACTTGCAGGTTATTTTTATTTGAAGAAGGAACCAAGCATCAGCCATTTCTAACTGAAACCATAAAATAAAGTTTTTGTTTGTCTAACACAAAATGAAGTTCACCTCCATGTTCCCCAGAAGTTTAATTGCTTTCCAACTTAATCTTTCTTTCGGTTGTTCTTCTTTCTGACCTTTCCCCAGTAAGCTTGGATATCTGTGGTTTTCTCTACTCTTGCCCCCTGAGATTGAAATTTCAAACTTTAAGAGAAGGGGCTTCTTCAAAGGTTGATTTATTCTCAGCTTTAAGGCTTATCCAAATGCTTTTCACCTGATGATCCATCAAGCCTTCCAACATTACTGTGAGGCAGAGAAAACTTTCCATTTTGTGCAGTGAAACAGCAGAGACACTGAAAGAGTAACTGAGTTGAGGCAGAAAGAGGATCTTGGTTGTGTTGTATGGGATGGTGGTTGCGGTGTAAGACAGGGACATTCTCGTGTCTCAGCAGGGTAGAGAAAAAGGGTGACCCGTGTTGTCCTATCAAACATGAGTGAAATTTGGAGAATGCCATTAGCTAATATATTTTGCAGAATACTATAATTTTGTCCTTGCCAAAATTCACTTGCTTCAATTATATCTGATTTTCTTGTGCATGTTTTATTGTGGAGAGTGATAAATTGCAAAAATGTTTGGGATTTTTCATACAAGGTAAGTTCCTAAAAACTTCCCGTGCATTTGCATATTTCTCTAAAAGCAGATCATGTACTTGGAAATATGTTTAGTTGCAACACTAAGTATAAAGACCTATTCAGAATGAGGACCAAATCCTAAAGCTGAAGTTATAAATTGCATTTTCTTAAATCACTAAGCTATTGACGGAACAAGTGTTTTGAGTTTGGGTTACCTACACTTTACTTGTAGGTAAGCTGTATTATTTGAATTTAAATAGACATCCTTGTTAAATAGATTAATTATCCAATAGTACATATGGGTAATTCTGAATCTGTATGTGAATAATTTAAATCTGACATGTAACTGCGCTTCTGACTTTTGTTTTTCTTTTGCCTTTTGCAATGCTTGGAATTCTCTTGGGTTTATTTAAGATGCATTTTGAAAATGGATCATCATTGCCCTTGGTGAGTGTACTATTGGCTTTCCTTTCTTAGTTTCTCATTTGGTAAAATAAACTCTTGAGGGGCCTGTTATGAAGGTGGTGCTTCACTACTCTAGAGTTAGATGCTTATGTAAAGTTACTGGTCTTGCAGAACTACTGGAGTTATTTCCTCTCTGTCCTCTTTTCCTACTTGTGAGATGTGGAAAGAGGTTCATATATAATTTTTCTTAGACCTTTGAGTTAGGAACTCTATGTTTTTATAGTTAGGATGAGGCAGACTTCTGGTCAGTAAGAAAACAACTTCTAAGAGTTGCTTATTTTCTTCATGGACTTTGACTATGATTGTGGCTTAGTTGTATTGAATGATGAAATACTGCCCTAGGTTCAAAACCAAAGAGGGGCTGTGCTGTGTTCCCCTTACTGAAGGTCCCAGCACAGCTTGAGTGGGCTTGCTGGAAACAGCAAGTTACCTCTTTTATTTTATGGGTTATTTGTTTCCTTTCATTTTTTTCTCCCTTCTCCCTCCCACTCTTCCTCCTTTTGCTGCCATATTGGCCTGCACAGTGGTTTTATTTTGCTGTCTTTTCTAGGCAGCCCTTGGAACTCAGTGGGTAGACAGGATGTGTAATTAATTTTATGTCAGTTTGGCAGGTATCTTGCAGAAATAATTAAAGATAATTGTTTAGTAAGGGCCAAGTTAAGAGGATTGAGTGGTGATGGCAGTTCTTCACCACATGAAACCAATCAGAAAAGAACAACTTCCTGCACTGGACAAACAGAATGGTAGATGGTTCTAATCAGCTGGATTGACCTTCTTAAGTCAAATTCCTGGGGAAAGGAGACTTGTCCTGGGGGAGGAAGGGCTTCTGGGCTCCTCCTGTTTGTCTTGGTCCTGACTACAGCCTCTGACACAGTGCAGTGTGATTTAAGAATCTCCCCTTATTTTGCAGCTGCATGGTAGATACATTGAAAGAAATATTTAACAATATAGGGCAGAGTTACTTCCTACATATATTTTTTTGCTGTAGGGATATCAGTATATGAAACTTGATGATGCTTAGTGTTAGTAGCATGCTTCTTAAAAAAACCAAACCAACAAACAAAACACAAACAGATAAAACCGTTGAACGTGGAATAAATTTCTTATAAGAAAAAAGGCTTCTTATAGCTGTCTTGTGGAAAGCCGTAAGAAAAATAGCTGTCAGGCTATTTCTGACAAAATACCAGTGAAAAGTCTCAATATTACTATTATTCTTCGGTGTTAGACACACTTCTCATAAGGTTTATGGTCTGCTTGGGGTTTTTTGAGTTGTCCTACCTTAGGATGGTACATGAGAATGTCATTTATGTAAACTTCAATTTCAGAATAAACATCCATTGCATCAAATAACGAATCATAAACTGAGAGCTTCACGTTGTGTAAAAGGGCAGTGAAGTGGTATTTCACTAGGGTATAGGCTTCTAGGAAAATAAACTCCATTTTCCTCTCAGTAGCATTTGGTTATTTTACCCATTTGCAGACTCTTTGCATCCAAACAACAGAAACATACCCAGTCTGAGAGAGTGCTTACATTGCTCTGTTTTTAATCTAATAAGCAACGGATGCAAAAAGAAAAAATAGAAATGGAGAAGGTACTTGAGAGACGTGTAACGTTTGTTGATGAATTGTTCCTTTTGTACTGCAAGTAACAGAAAGGCACTTGAAAAAGAGATATTGTCTTATTTTTCCTAATTTGAGTGGATGTCCCCTGTTCCTTGCTGACCCTGAAATAATTAACTATGTGGAAGTAGCAGGAGAGTTCTGAAATATTGCAGAGATGCTGATCAAACTTTATATTTCCTTTAAAGACCCATGTTCCAGGGGTCTTTGGGAAATATCACATGGCTATTTTATCAACAAAAGTAAGGGTGCAAATCGGTATCATGGGTGGGGTTTAGCCCCCCTGAAAACATCGTTCAGTCCTGCTTTGCTTTTCGTTTTGGGATTTTTTGGTGGGAAAGAGGTGGGAAAGAACCTGTGTGGTGCTTAAGGAGAGCAGGGAAACAGTAATGAGAACTACTATTTTAATATTCTGCTTGGAAAGGGGTTTCTGGAAGGAGGACAGGTAGAAATAACCAAGGGGGAAAGTAAGAAGGAGCATTTGGAAGGCAGAGGTAGTGAGGGGCATAGCCATGGCCCAGCCCCCAGGTCAGCTCCTTTCTAGGAGGCTTCATTTTGGCTATCACTCCTGGGCTAATGGAAGTGCTGTGATAAACAGAGATATTTAATGCTAATTGCCCTCTAACTACTCCAAAAGGTTTAAGTGGTGCAGAAATAAGAGCATTAGTGACTTCTATGCTAGTGCTTCTGCTGCTCATACTATTTAGATGGAGTATTTATCTGCCAGGAATGCAATGGCTTGAGGCACCAAAAATATAATTTGTAACAACTCTAATATTAACAAGGTGCATTAGCAACACCTTAGAAACATTTGAAACATTTCCCCTTTGTCTTTTGAATCATCTGGAAAGAATTTAGCAATGCCTGAATTCTGTGATGCTTTTTGTTAACTGAGCTGCATCACCTTTAGTGCCTTATAAGTTATTTTTTTTCCCTGGTGTTTTCAGTAAAATAACTTTTAAGATGGAAAGGATATATTTTCTTTTTGTACTTCAAAATTAATTGTTTTAAATGTTATCTGTAATGTAAATTTTAACCTGGAATGTTCTTTTGTATGAATGTTTCACTGCAATAGCACCCCCTTATTTATGTCTGTATGTTTATCAGTTTTATTCTTCCTCAAAATATTAAATTTTAAATCTAACCACCATTCTTGGGTCTTATGATTTGATATTACTTGTTCAAATAACATAATTACCAAACCTTGGTGTTTACTTTCTCTTGATGAACTAATCTCTTCCAGTAAGAACCCCTCGGTCTGGGGCTTTGTCAAAACACTGACAAGGTGTTGCTCTGGTCACGGAGTGGGATAATTCATGAATTATTTTTTTAATGTGTATACTGTATGCAGTAGTGCAAAAGAGCAACAAGAAAGAAATCTGTCTTTGATTCAAGAAATGTCATCCCTGATGAATAACGTTTCACTTGATAGTTCTTTTCTCACTAAAATGACATAAAGTAAAAGAAATAATATGAAAGTAGAGTAGTGTTATAGAAACCTTGCATCTGAATTGCTTGCAGTTTATCATGGCATTCCTGACTTTGACATGTTTAATGAAGAAGACACTTTGCTGTGGAGAACTGTAAATTTACTTGCCAATAAGAATCATGAGCAATAATAATCAAGACAGGGGTGGATGGGGCTTTGAGCAACCTGGTGTACCGGGAGGTTGCAACTACGTGGTCTTTAAGGCCCCTTCCAACCCAAACCATTCTATGAGTCTGTGATGAGCTTAGTTAGAAACAGATCTTCTGGGGCATTTTTTAATTAGAACAATCTCTTGTGAGTCCTTCTTAATTATAGTTAATATAGATGCTTAGCTATTGCTGCATATTTAAATGGCAATGCTAAATTTAATTTTTAGCCAAGGTAGCATGTTTTGTGAAAACCCAATAAAAAACCAAAAAACCCCCCTCTTCACCCCAAGGATGGATGACAATAGTGCACTCTGAAAGATTACTTGGTATCTTAAAATCTTATCCTATCCTGATTCCTGTGTATCCTGCCATTACCATCACTGTCTCCCTAAAGACCATAGTTGCAATAACTTGTCCTACACCTCTAGAAGCAGCTAAAGATGAGACTCACCACGCCTTCTTATTTTTTGAGAATTGTTTCTTAACATACAAATGCTTTCATCAGCTAGTTAAAGAAGGTATATGAATTATTTTTTTTAAACCCATATGGAGAGTTATATCAACATTAGTGGTACAGTGATAACTTTGGTTAGCTTCTTAATGCAACCAAATAAAAGAAAAAGAAAGCTGCTTACCAATGAACTATCCATGGGCAGCATTGCAATATTTTTCATTTGGTGGATGTAACATCATTACATGTTTAATAGACCTCTAAAATTCTTAGATAATACATTGTCTCTAATGGGAAGCTGCTATGATACTAAATGTACCCTTGTGATGTCTCTCTGATGAGAGTCTGTACTAGATGCTTATTCTCATGTATAAATTCTATAAAGCTGGGAAACAGCTGAACTTGAAGCCCATAAATCAAAATGATAAAATGAGATTTATTTTAAAATTTGGTTGTGTATTTAAACATTCCTAATCTTTTGTTTTACTTGCTGTCATGTTGTCACTGTTAAGGTACATTTTCTGTTTACTCAACAGTAGTATTTCCCTCATTATTTTATATAAATGTAAATATTTTTAGGGACGTCCTTCGAATCTTAATAGTAAAGTTTACACTAATATGTAATATGATTAGTGAAGGAGATTGTGGATTAAATGACACTGCTTTTATTCTCACGAAATTAAATCAAGATTCAAAATCTTGATTTGTGACTGTCCCACTTGTTATGTACAGTGTTATGCAGAATGGTAAAACATGGGTACTTAAACTTACCTACAAACTGAAAAGGTAACTGTAACTGCAATCACATTTACATCGGGTGTGCTGGGAACAGATTTCATAACATAAATCAGATGTGAATTTCAGTAAACTGTTGCAAATGGTGTTGCTTGGTAAAGTTCTTTGGGTTTGCTGTCGTTGTTTTGGTTAGAATTTATACACTAATTTAAGAGTTGAAGCTAAATACATTTCAGTAGCTTAAGGCACCACAGGTAGGAAGGAAAACTTGGTTTACATTCTGATACTATTTTAGAGTAAATATGTTTAATTTTAAATTGGATGAAATGAAGGAAAATAATTTTCTTTACATTCCTTTTTTTTTTAACTTTTTTTTTTTTCTGTCAGGGTGAACAACTGTGTAGGATTCTCCAATTACAAATTTTTTCTTCTCTTCTTGGCTTACTCTCTACTGTATTGCCTTTTCATTGCTGCAACGGATTTACAGTATTTCATCAAATTTTGGACAGTAAGTACTCTAATCTACGTACTGTCTTTAAGCATATGAAGTTAATACTGTGCAAGAAGTCTAATATTCATGGCTTTACAGAAATCAAGTATCTCCTAATACGGGGTACTAAAGTTTAATAATCATAGCCTTCTTTTTTGAAAATTGAAAATTTTCAAAAGGGAATTGAAATTATAGATAGGTTTTGTTAACTTCCTCTAATAGCTTGAAAAAGCTTCAGAGAAATGCTCTAATATTTTAATTATGATTACCTGAGTTCACAACTCTAGGATGTTCTCTTCATAGATGTGCATTATTTATGCTGTTATATGACTGTTTTGAAAATGCAAATTAAACAAGATCATTTTTGTAAAGATAAATTACTCTTCTCTAAAAGACACTTCAAAGTTCAAATCTAAATTGCAGGTTCTTGTTGTCAGTATTTATATTTTCTCTAGAAAGGGCCCATTTCTTTACTTTAGATGCCATCAGCAACCTAATTGCATGGTCATCTGTACATAGAAGGTGTATAATTCATTTATTCAGACCCCTGTTGCGTGGTACGGTTGTGTCTGCACTGAATTTGATTTGGCTGAATAGAGGATTACTAATAATCAAATTAAACAGCTATTTCCCCAATTCTAATGGCATAATTTTATTTTATTTTTAGAATGGCCTTCCTGATACTCAAGCCAAGTTCCACATCATGTTTTTATTCTTTGCTGCGGCTATGTTTTCTGTCAGTCTGTCTTCTCTCTTTGGGTATCACTGTTGGCTTGTCAGCAAGAATAAGTCTACGCTAGGTAAGTGGATTTAATACTTCTGTGTTTGACAGCAAGAAATAAATAATAGATGTATGCTATATACACGGGGAGTAATGGAAAAAGCAGGCAATCCTCTGCAGGTTCCTTGGATCCTGGTTAAAAGTGCCTGGGTCTGGCAGCATCCACTACTGGTTCCCCAGTTCTGCTGCTCCCTGGAAGTTCCAGCTCTTTTCCTCCTGCCCCTAGGAGCCAAGCTATTAATGAATTTATCCTCTTCCTCCCACTTCATCCCATCCACAGCTTGTTAACAGAAATTGAATAAACTAAAAAAAACCTGAGATTGTTTTGTAATAAATGTTAGACACACCAATGCATGTTTGCACAAGTGCTGCTTGTTTGGCATTCCCAGCCCTCAGGTCTGAGTCCTCTGATGTGAGGTCTCTGTCCAGGCAGTGGCTCCAGCACTTCATTCCCACCCTTGCCCCCTGCAGAACCAAAGTTCCTCTGTTCAATTTGGCTACAATTTTGCTTAAAAGCTCTGAAAAGCATAGTTATTAATTCCAAAACTTTGTCTGTACTGGAGGCAAGGAGAGGAAAATAAAAAATCTGGAAGGCAGGCTGGTTATTGCCCTGGTGTTGTTAATTTTCATCAACATGACTGAGCACAAAGAGCCAATGTCAGAGAATGATCTGATACAGAAGAACAGACTTTAAGGCAGTGTTTCTATATTTAGTAGTAAATGAACACAGAGATCTGAAAGGCGGTTTCACAGTTGTGAGTCCTGTCTGCCACGTAATCATAGATACATAAAAAAGAACTCTGTGTGTTATGAGTTAATTTTAAAAACCTCAAAGAAGATGGCCTGTGCCTCTACTATGGGAGTGTGTGTAATAACTGCATTAAATATGAGTGTTAAACTAGGACTTCCCACCACCTGGATGCACGTGTGTCTGGTTACAGATCTTTAAAAAAAAAAATAAATATAAAAGAAGATGCAGAAGATTTGAGTGCCTGTTCTATGCTATGTCCTGGACTGTAATAATACCAATTTGCAATATCGTCTTTAAAGTTTCTAAATCTCTAAATGCTTTTCTGTTGATCTAAGCTGAATTAGAGTAAGCCAATGGATTGACCTGTTTTTTCCAGTTCTATTGGGAATTACTAATATGTAGATGATTAGTGGAAAACTTTGCATATATATCATTGGAAGGAAGCTTGTTTACATCAAGATTTCACTAGGGTTTGTGGGTTTCTTCAGTATGCTGAAAAATCATCTACTTCAAAATTAGTAGAAGAAAAAATTTGTTCAATCTAGTTATAAGTGGAGAAAAGTTTTATTAATAATGCTTAAATGAACAGAAATTATTTAGTATTCTGTTTATAAACTGTTCATATATTTTTAGTGCCCCCAAAAAATTTGTGTAATGCAGTACACTTCTAATTCAGTATTTCATGTTTTTGAAACCAATTGCATTCCATGCAAGTAATATACCATGTTTTCTGTACACTTAAGCTACTCAAAAAGGTGAGTTTGACTCTTCTTTGCATTTTACTTTTGGAAATTGCTCAATATGTGGAACCCTGAACATGCAGTAGTTTGGTAATGAAGCCAGGACAGCTTCAAGTGTGGTTGTGCTTCAATGATCCTGGGAGCTGTTTTCCTAGCCCAACATGGGCATCTGAAAGGATATCTCTATTTTCCTTTTCCCCTTCTTTTAAAACACGGTAAAACTAATGCATGCTCCATGTAGAAGGTCATTTCCAGCAGTTCATAGCTAAGGATTTACTGCAGAAGGATGATCTTTGCGTGGTTCCAGCATGGTTTGTGTGAGCTGTACTGTCAGGACCTGGTTTGCCTACTTTATATAGCCAATTAAGGGAATTAAATGGCTATCAATCACTTGGAGGAAGGTGAATGAGTTTTCTGCTTCGGGCACTTTGCAACACATGAAGCTATTTTTAGCTCTCTTCTCCAGAAATATAGGTTGGATGTCCATGGGGAATAATCTGGGTCTACAAGCAAAGTGCTTTCTTTATGCAGCTGTAAAAACACACAGTATTTTTGTACCCCAGGGTGTGAAAAGCCCGTTTTACTACTGAAGTGGGTTAAGCTTTTCTTCTTTTCCATTACTCTTACTGTAGGGAAAACCTTTATCTAGGTTTTTTCTTTCTCAGACGCTCTCTGTGGTATAGTCACATGCTGAAATCTTCAGATAACATATCACATTTTCTTAAAAAGTGGGTTCTTTGCTCTTCCTGGCCTTGATTAGGGTGGTGGAGGAGGGTAGAGGAGGTTTCCACCCTTCCTTAGCCATAGGACTTCCTCTGCACACACAGAGACTGTGGCACTGACTTTGGCTTTCATGAGTGGACTGACTTCCTCAGTCACTTGGCCTCTCCGCTTGGATGATGATATCATCAGTGTAATTGCTTAAATACTGCTGTGAAACTTAAACGTCCTATCTTGTGAAGAAATGTAATGATTTTTTTTCTTTTAAGAGGTGTTCAGAGCTCCCATATTTCGCCATAGAACAGACAAGAATGGCTTTAGCTTGGGCTTCAGCAAAAACCTAAGGCAGGTGTTTGGTGATGAGAAGAAATACTGGTTGGTGCCTGTGTTTTCAAGGTATGCTCAGTTTTTAATGCTTCATTTTTTGACATTCTTGAATAATCAGGATCCGCAGAGTTTGGGGGGTGGCTAGTTTTTCGAAAAAACAATTCTTTAAAGTTTTTTTTTTTGTATGTATGACACTAATTCTGAATTTTTCAGTCTAGGGGATGGTTGCTCCTTCCCAACTTGCCTTGTTAATCAGGACCCTGAGCAAGCTTCCACACCCAGTGCTCTTAATTCAACATCCAAAAAGTAATCTTCTTTTAGTTACTCATTTCAAATAGATAATATTCTGGTTTTTTTTCCTGTGCCTATATAAATAGAACCATGTATAAGATACTTAAAAGTGGTAAGCAAATGAAGTGCATCTTATTAATAAATACAAATCAGATTTTAAATAGCTAATTCAGCCAATCCTCAGACTTATAATTAAATTTATGGAAATAAGTTTGTCTTGGTTCAGTGTCATCCTAGGATCTGAATTTTCCATGCCTGCTTAAACAGTATCCGTAACATTGTGTTCCGCATACATATGAGCCAGTCAGTCAGCCCGCCTGCCATACGGATGCGTTACCTTCCAAGGCTCCTGGGGGAGGCCAGCTTCTTCATAACTGGGGAAAAGAAGCTTCACAGAAGGGAATCCCAGCTCTCTGCTCTTGTGCTGAAGTACAAGAAGCTGCCTATTAAATACATTTGTTTTATTTCTGCTGATACTAGGAGATGTTTTCTTAATCCTTACCCTTCACCGCCGTGACATCTTTAAAGTAACTCTTTAGCAACATTTATGTAATGAAGAGTGTGATAAGTGTAGTAGATTTGAAGACGTGACTAAGAAATGATAATGGAATGGTATTGACAATCTTTTATTCATAAAAGAAATGCATTACATTTCAGCTAGCTCTTTATTGGCATTTTAAATCTTACCCTAGTGATCCATAGCTTATATTAGGCAAGATGTTTTGGAGATGTGCTCTCCACTATTTATCACATGAGGTTTGTTGTAGTGGGAGTGAATATGGATAGAGTGCATTTGGCACTGAAGTACATGTATTAATGTGTAACATCTGTCAAAGAAAAAATGTTTCCCTGTTCTGCACTAAGAACAGTTCCAACTGTGACATCTACAGTGTAATGTACATAATGATCAAAGTGTAGTGATTCATCAGAAAAGAAGCCAGGTAAGGTAGGGAAAATACTGCCTATGACAAAAAAATTACTGCAGTTTGCTACAATGCTCTTTTTATTGGCATTTCAGTGAGAACCACCTGTTTCCTGCAAAGCCGTTGCGTGATTCCCAGAGCCACCTTCTTACAGATACACCATCTTGGTCAGAAACCAGTGGGAAGGCTGAAAAGGGCAAAGTTGGTAAGGAATTGATTTATGCTGCAATGATTTGTTTTGTAGCAAAGGATGTTGGAGGATATAGTGTAAAAATGACCAAGGTCACTTGTTTTTTGTAGTCATGAACCAAAACTCATGAAGCTTATTTTAAATCCATTTATCAAGCTGCTGTGCCCTTTGCAGATAAACCTGACCAAGAGATACTGAGAGCACTAACATTAGTAGGTGCTAATTACCTTTTAGGCCAAGCCTGATAATTCTCTTGGGAACAAATTGCTTCAGAATATGAAGCCTTGTTGCAACTAGTGAAAAACCGTGTCATAGACACAGGACAGGAATAATAGGCTTGGTAATAGTGGAATGACATTAAGATGATTGGTAATTAAAGGCTGTATTATTTGCTGAAAGAGACATGAGACCTTTTCCTGTAGAAATATAATTTTTTTTATCTTTAAAGGTATGAGCAATCCTGCATTAACCATGGAAAATGAAACCTAGTTTCCCTTAAAAGAAACATCTGAATACATAAGGAAAAAGGTATGATAATATTCTGTGTAGTTAATACGCAATTCCAATCTGTTTTATTTTCTTTATTTTTTTTTTTTACCATGAGGTAGTAGCACATGAATTCATAGTTTTAAACTGAAGCTCCGATTTCTTCATTTTTCATGTTTGGAAAATATTAACCTTTATACCCATTGCTTCTAGGTTGTATTCCAAAATATTATTATTATTCCCTTTTGCTAGAAAGATAATGAAATTGTGACTATTTAAGCTGTCCAGCAGAGGTTTGTAAAGCTAAGTTTGACAATTAACTTAGTTCTTAATACTGAACGCAAAGATCACAGCTTAGTCTACTAAAGCAGGTAAAGTTCTATCAGATAATGAAAGGAAAACAGATTTATTCTAATACGTAAAAATATCAGCAGCTTGTTCTTCTATGCCAGGTACTGAGTACCCAGTTCAATAACTTTAAAAGTGCTGTCTACTGAAGATAGAAGAGCATTTAGTCACCTATTGTCTAAATGCTTCCTGAGCATTTAGTCACCTATTGTCAAAAACAGCTGAGATTATTTTTTTTTGTTATTATTTCTTGCATTGATATCTTGCAACATAGACTTCACAGAGGGCAGATCTGAGAAGCAGCTAGTAAATTCTATTATATGCATGAGAGGAAGAGACCTTAATAATTGGGTTGGGGAGAATGAACACAATCAATCATCATTCACTTTAGTATTTGAAGAATTCTAACCTCACAAAAGCTTATGGAAATCAACTATTTAATATTTAAAGCTGGATTAAAAAAATTGACTCCAACCCTAAGAATTTCAGCATACCAAATAATTTATGATTTTCCAACAGCATTGGAGGAGTCGTTCCAGCAAGGCCATTTCTAACTCTGCTACTGGAAGCACTCTTTTAGTCATCCTGAAAAAGTGTCTCAAGTGGATGTCCCTCATTTGAATGTGACGTGACTCCTGGGCATGGTGTCACAGCTGTGAGGCTGCTCTCAGTCACTTCTGTATACAGGGAGTAGAAGGCATGGAAAGCCATCAGAGAACTGCAGGGATTGATACTAGACCCATCAGGCATGGCACATTGGACCATGGTATATGGTTAGGGCAGATGATAAAAATGGTAGGTGTGCAGATACCAACAGGTGGCCTGTAGCTTTTACCAGGAAGGTCCCAGAAGGTCAGTTGGATTCATCAGAGAAACTAGAAAGTTCTTGACCTTACATTCTGTTTTTGTGTTAAGTGGTGAATGAAGACACAGACGGTTCCAGATATAGGTACATCTATAAACTTGGTGATGGTGTGAAGTGTTATAGTGTTGAAAGTGTGGGTGTCAAACGAACAGTTAAAGAGAAGAGCGAATGCCTCTCAGTTGGTGTCTGCGATTTTGACTGTGTAGGGTTTTTTTAATAGAATCTAAAAATTTCATTTCTAACCCTTCGTTCAAAATGTAAAATGACATACTTCTGTCCTGTTTAATCCATCAGGATTTCAGCAACAGCTTCTGGAAAACAATAAATTATTCAACTTCAGTTAGTTTAATGTCCTACATGTCATCACTACTCAAGAGTAAAGCATTGGAGACAGGCATCAAAGAAACAGGTTTTTGGATTGGTGACACCAGCCATGGAGCCGTGCATTAATAGACTGGACCTGTTGGATTCTATGATTATGTTACAGAAATACAATTAATTGCAACTAGTTTTGTCAGGTTGGACTTCTACTCTCAAAAGTTCCTAATGGTTTATTTATAGAATCATAGAACATTTTGGGTTGGAAGGGACCTTTAAAGGTCATCTAGTCCAGCCAACTTCCTGCAAGGAGCAGGGACATCTTCGGCCAGATCAGGTTGCTCAAAGCCCCATCCAACCTGACCTTGAATGTTTCCAGTCATTAGATGTCCAGGGACATCTAATACTTCTCTGGGCAACCTAGGCCAGTGTTTAACCACCCTCAATGTAAAAAATTTCTTCCTTACATCTAGTCTAAATCTTCCCTCTTTTACTTTAAAATCATTACACCTTGTCATATCGCAGCAGGCCCTGCTAAAAAGTTTTTTCCTATCTTTCCTGTAGCCCCTTTAGGGACTGGAAGGGGCTCTAAGGTCTACCCGAAGCCTTGTCTTCTCCAGGCTGAACAACCCTAACTCTCTCAGCCTGTCCTCATAGGAGAGGTGCTCCAGCCCTCTGAGCATCTTTGTGGCCTCCTCTGGACCCGTTCCAACAGGTCCATGTCCAGGTTCGTGTGCTGAGGGCTCCAGAGCTGGAGGCAGTACTCCAGGTGAGGTCTCACCACAGAAGAGCAGAGGCAGAATCACCTCCCTCGACCTGCTGGCCACACTGGTTTTGATGGAGCCCAGGGTATGGTTGGCTTTCTGGGCTGTGAGTGGACATAGTTGGCTTTTCAGTCACTAGTACCCCCAGGTCCTTCTCGGCAGGGCTGCTCTCCATCCCTTCATCCCACATTCTGTGCTGATACCGGGGGTTGCCCTGACCCAGGTGCAGGACCCTGCACTTGGCCTTGTTGAACCTCATGAGATTCACACGGACCTGCTTCTTAAGCCTGTCCAGCTCCCTCTGGATGGCATTTACTTAAGTGATAACTTTTAAACTTTGATCTTTCTTTGAGCAGTGTGTACATTTTATTGGATCGTTGTCATTCAGATAATTCTGAATGTCAAACATGGTCTGTGATTGTTTTAAAGATGCTGAAAGTGTGTTTTTAAGCTGTTTAGCTTGATAAACATCTCATGCTCTTTTTTGGTTGTTTTTTTAAATCTTTTAGTCCAGTCTGAGAAAGTCATCATTAGATTTGTGTTTGCAGTCTGATTACCCCAGCCCTTGGGTTTGTGGGGTTTGTTTCTTTGTTTGGGTTTTTTTTTATTTCATCTTTTGGGAGCATCCATTTTGGAGTGCAGCTTTTTAAAGAGAGAGGACATTATGTTCTAAAGAGGAAGTGTAAAACCACATAAAGGGGCCCCTGGAAGTCAGTTTTGCCTCAGACCAACACACATCTCAAAAGGGCAGTAGCCAAGGACTGGTGTTGTCTCTGGCACGAGCATAAGTGCCAGAGTTTGGTTGTACCCTTGGCTCTGTCTGAGACATTTCTGTGTGGCAATTAAAAGACCTTCTGGAGATGTAACAAAAAAGGTAGATTACTCTGTGTGTGTATGTATACAGAGAGAGAGCTGACATACAGTTGCTGGAATACAAGCCCTTACGTAAAAATGTCTTTATATTACTTTTTTGGAACTGCTGTGTGTTTAACTTCATTCCTTTATTGTCAGTATTTGAGCTATATTTGTTCCTAGGGAGTGACTATAATACTGTGCTATAAAGATACTGAAGTCACAACAACAAAACCAACTAATTTCATCTTTGACATGAAAAATAACAGCCCATAGCCACTGCTGGTGTCGGTCATTTGAATTTCTGTCCCGACTAAGGTTATGTTCAATATCCTGTATCCTGTAATCCTTTATAGTTAATCAGAGGACTAATTACTGAGAGGACCAGCTGTGGTTTACCCTAATGTAATAGAGAATTGGTTATTTAGTGCTGTTGGTACCTGGAAGTACTCTTAAAAATAGCTCGCTTCATTGAGTAACCTGGTGACCTGCTTACTCTGAAGTCAGTTTTTAATCACTGTCACCTGAAGTGGATTAATAACATAACTGTGCACAGTCTTACTGTGTTCTCCTTCAGGGTGGGATTTTCATTCAGCTGTTGTTCACTTTCCCCTTTGAGTTGATGAGACCTGTTGCAATAACTTAATTTTTAAGTGTTCTTCAATTCTAATGATGCATTTTGTGATTAATGTTCTGTTCCAGTTGAAGAAAAAGCTGTCATCGGAAGGAAGATGCGTTCTTCCAAATATCAGCCCTGTTGGCCAGCTGCTCCTGTCTGCTCCTGTGTGGATGTGCTCAGAAAATAAACTGACAGATGATTAGCTGTCTCCATGTCATTGCTTGAAACACGAAACCAAACATACTACTTCTGAACCATACAAAGAATGTTTCAACTTCAAAATTACTGGATTTGAATGGCGAAGGTTGATTCTGAAATGGAAAAAAAAAGAAAAGGAGTCTGAGTTTACTATTGTAGGAATTCAATGGCTGGTTTTACTTCGATATTCAGCACAAGAAAATGTGACCTCCTTGCATATCAGTCTGTGTGCTTGCCTTGGTTTTGAAAATTCACCTGTTAATTCAAATCGCTGTAAGTAGTTGACTTTAAAATCAGATTTTTGCACTACTGGCTTTACAAATTGGGAGAACAGCCAGTGTTGATTACGAATAACTTAGTAGCTTGGTGGTCTGTATTTTCTTTTGAGAGCTTGATAAGCAATTTTTGAAGATAAGGAGACCCAAGTGGAGTGTCTGACTATTTTTGGAACATTTTGGGGAAATTTTTGGTAAAAATTATTGAAAAGTTCTGTTTTCCTTCAGATCTATACTATCAATAGTTTGAAAAGTTGCAGAGAGGGGAAAATTGCCTTTGTTAATTGAATGCTGCAGTGGGTCACTGGTAAGTGGAGCAATAAAAAGCCTGTGTTCAGATGGGTAATACATACATGAAGCTGGCCAGCTGGGGAGTTTGAAGGGAGCTGCACAGGGCAGTGCTATGAAATGGGAATTTTATTGTCCCATTTGGAATTATTAATCCCTTTGGGAAATGAATGTTGGCACTTAACTTTGATCCAAAAGGCTTTTTACCAACCTGCCTTCCTGAGAGCCACTGTCTTTCAAAATCCTAGTTTCTTATTAATCAAGAGTTGTCTCAGATGTCTTTTTTTTCACTTGTTCTTTAAGACACTGCCTTTCTTGCTGCATAACTTAATGAATACGGTCAAGGAGGCTTACTCTTCTAATTTGTGATATTTACATTTACAGGACAACAGAGGTTTGATTGCGATACCATAAAGCCAAGCTGCTGCAGGTAGGGAACCCCCTTCAGTTCAGGTCAGTTCAGGAGCCTGCAGCTTGCTTAGGATCAGTTTACTGGTCAGATAATGTAAGATGCATTACCAACTTTCAAAGTCAAGGAAGTTTTCAGCAACACAAATCGAATTTGTCTTGTGCCTTTTGTACACACTACGTTTATTGTATCAGTGTTTACATTTAAATGCAAATCATTATTCTGAAAACAACTTTAGGAGGAACTTAGTTATGCTTTCACAGTGGCTGGATAAAAAAAAAAAAGACTAGTCCAAAAAAGAAAAAACTTAAAACCTCTCAGACTAAGCTCAGTTCAGTTGAAGCAGAGAAGTACTTCTGTTACCAAAACTGAGTCATTTAGGTGGGTTCACAGTGTAAAGATGCCAGTTGTTTGTTTAGAAAACTGGCAGCAGGACTAAGTGACAGGTTTCTGAAAGCAAAAAGCTCATCGTTAACTCTCCTACAGGCAGGTAACTTTAACATTTGTCTTTCCTGGGTTTACAACTTCAGTGATGGCTGTTGGAGCACAATGTGGCTTTTTTCCTAGTGAGGGAAAAATCTATTTGTTTTACTTTTTTGTTTTAATCTCAAAACTTTACCAGCCTAAAAACATCTGTTTCTTGCCAGAAGTGCCAGAATGTGGATCCCTTGATGTAAAACACCTTTTTAAAACTAGCATGAAGGTAGCATACAGTTTACATGATGCCTGCAGACATCTAGCAACCAAAAGTTTTTCGCAGCTATTTATTCAGTGTTGTTCTGTCAGCTTACCTCGTATTAGTGTTTGTTTAAAGGCTAACTTGTCAAGGGATAAAGGGGGAGAGGGAAAAAAAATATATATATTTTTAACACTTCAGGTTCTCTATCTGTATAGTCTTGTTTTTTACGCAGTTAGTTACAGGGTGGTTTGTCTTGGAGCATGCTTTTGAAAATACTAAGTAAAAAGTTGAATATCAGCTTCGGTGTAACTTGCTCCATATTTTTACGTAAAGACAAAGTACAGGTTTCTTCCCCAGCAAAACTCGTAACAGAAATGGATCTCTCCAGTACAGATGTCAGCCACCCTGACTGTGGGCAGGGCTCTGGCTGGGGATCAGCATAGGGAAAGGACAGGGATAAGGGAGCAAGAAATGCCTGGCTTCTCCATGTGTCAGAAGTCACACGTAGAAAGCACAATAGCCCTAAATAATCTGCAGCTCTGATGCACCCAGAGGCTGTCTCTCTAGCACAAGAGTGACGGAGGTGTGGGAAGGGAGAAAGGGGAAGAGCAATGAGGGTGGCTTGGAGGTAATTATTTGGCTGATCCAAGCCAGCAGTCTATAGCTACAGCTGCTGTTGGGATGGGTGGGAGCTGTGCTGCCAGGAAGAGCACTGTCGACAGAGTTTTGAGGGTTCCTGGCAGCTCTCGTTGCATAGAATATGGACAAAAGTGAGCTAATTGTGCTCCAAAGTACAGTTTCTGGTATAAATATGTTCTTGGCTTTAAGCTCTCTAATACTTTCTATAGCGAAGTGGAAATGGTCTTTTTGACGTATTGTCGTTGAGCATTGATGCTGTTACAATGCACGCGGGAGAATTTGTGCAGAGGTGAGAGGAGCAGGGATGGAATGTTGTTTGTCTGCTTACACTGATTCTCCTGTTCTTTATATTCTTGCTGGGCACTTTACTACAGCCTTTTGTGTAATTTCTGTATTTTTTTTAAAGACTGCTTTTTACCTACTGTACAGTTACTAATCTACTTTTTTGCTAAAAAGAAAATAATAGCCCTGATATTTGTCTAGCAGTACAACTGCATTTCAAGCTTCAGTGGAATGAGTTCTGCAGACTCCTCAGATGGGTTGGAGTCCCTAATGACAACAGAGTTAAATTTATTTTGTATATATGTAAACAGTCACATGCATCATAGCCCCCCACATGCGTAAGAAGCTTCCTTAATTTGTGGGTTAAAACAAATCCCAATACCTGTCTGCACCAGAACTGGTCCACACACATTCTGTGTCAGTTGACGTACTGGTGGTGGAATGCTCAAAGTCTTCACAGAGAACTAATTTTATTAAGAAAATGGAACACCTGGGTGTTGATGAGCTCCTCCCACTGAGCAATTGGACACAGCTGCTGCTCTGCACTTTAATTCTTTAACTTGAGAGAAAAAAAGTTTTCCAGTTTAAGTTGCAGATTGAAGGTTCTTTAGTAGCCAACAGCTGTGGGCAGGTAATTAATGAAGTTATTTTTAACTGTTTTTGTACTTAAAATCAGGGTCTTCAAGCAAGAGCTTGTGGGAAGCAAGTTTGTTGTAGTGCATGGTGTGCTGTAGCAGTTGTTAGGATTTGGGCTGCGAGTTGTTGCCCCGATGCAGTTGACTGGTGTGCTGGGGTAGGGGGGGAATACATTTCTACATAAATTTAATGTATAACTTTGCCACTGGTTAATGTATTGCTCACAGAAATAAATGCTTCATGTTCAGCAAGTCATGTATGCAGCCGTCATTGACACACTGCCTTCGGTTTTACTGACAGTCCCCAAACAGCAGAACATCATCTCTACTGCACCTTCATTAACAACATAGTTAATTGCTTCACGAGCAACCTTTGACTTCTTGAGGTGAGTTTTCCCTCCCTAGTTTAATTACTAGATCCCTAGCACCTCTCAAACCCCTGGCACTATGAAACGGGTTTAAGAGGGAACCGAATCCTTTTTGGTCTTTGGGTAAAACACTCCACATCTTCATGGTGGCAGAGCAGACCCAGCTGCGCTGCTTTGGATACTGTGGAAGGTCAAAGAGGTGGAATTGTGTCCCAAAAAAGAGGGGGTTCTTACTTCATAGAACTGAGGAAGTGCAGGAAGGGAGGTACATTACTTATCCGGGTTGTCACCCGGAGCAGCTTTACCTCATGAGGGCTCCAGTCCCTCCCCTGCCAGATTCTTCTGATCTGCCTGACTTTCTTCTCTTTGCTAATAATCTCCCCTCGGGAAGCCTTGGAGCCACCTCTGGGGCAGAAAGAAATGAGATTGTCTACTCGGGGAACCCTAAAAATGCAGGAGCAGTTACCTAAAGATGAAAGCAGCCTTCGCCTGCTCCAGTTCAGATGTAACCTGCAGGATATGCTCCAAGCGTTTTCCATATTTTACTTAGAACCCTTCCATAAATATTTGTATCGAATCATATACAAACTTTCTCATCCAAAACAAGGTGAAAACCAGGACGTGCTGCATGGGTGGTGGGGTGTCTTTGTTCCCACGTCACTTGCAGCCATCACTTGTTCATCAGCGACCTGGTAAGAGGACAGGAAAAGCAGCCGCCTTCTGGGGTGAAATGTTGAGCAAGTGGCACCTGAGGTAACCCGAGGACATCCTTGCCTACTTTCTCATCACAGTTCTTCAGTTGTTCCCTTTTCAATTTTTCATTGCCATTCTTCTCTTGCTCTTCTCCTGCCCTTCCAGAGAAGTCCAGATTGAAATGTCTTTCATTTGAAATGTGCAATCAATATCTGCACCCTTCGTATTCCTCCCAGAGTTTATTCAAGACAGATAATTCCTTCATTTCTCCAAGCTTTCCTTATGGCACCCATCACTGAAATACAGTAATTCAGGCATCCTGAAATCTGGCTGTATCATTTTTCAGCATTTGGGACAACGCTTCCATCCTTCACCCCAGATCGCTGAAATCTTCTCAAGCAGATGGGTCCAGCAGCTTGGCTGCAGCAGTTGGAAGAGCATGTCCCCTTTCCCACACCTTCTGCTTGCTCATGGCTTGACTGACTGGCATAACTGGAACAGACCCAACACTTCCTGACAGTCATCCCTTTATGAAGTCATTCTCCTTTTTTTTTTTTTTTTTTAAATTCTGAAAACAGAGTGATTTTCAGTTCACCTGAGAAGGAGCTCCAGTTATAAAGACAAAATACACATCGTATACAAACTGTGTGTTACAGCCTGAACCTATTTCCAGTTATTTTCTCTATGCTGTCAGAGATTGAACTCTGTAGTAGTTCAAAGAGATAGAGGTACAACAGAGAAAATCCAGTAGCTTAGTGACAATATAAGCTCTAGTAATTAATCTTCATATAAACCACTACTGTAGATACTGCAGATACACTCCAGAGCGTGCAGAGGGACAAGAATGATGGAAAACTGAGCTTGCAAAGCTCCGCTGTTGTATGATGAAAGGTAAATAAAAGATACTGCCACCTGCAACCACAGCTCTGATGTGATAACCTGTAAAAAAATAGCATGTTTTCTGTAATGCAGCTCAACAAGTTCAGCTGTTGCCAGTTTCTACCCAATGCACAGAGGAGGGAAAGCTTCCCACCTCCTCCCTCCATCTCTCCCTCGCATGAGCCAACAGTTAATTGAGTTAATTGAGGGAAGTGTCTCACAAGCCCAGGAACAGCACACTCAGGCACAGTGATTCTCCCACTTCAGCAGAGGCAGAAAAAAACCCTCTCTCATCTGTGCTGGCAGGAAAAGGGGGAGAGAAGCCTCTGCAGAAACCAGATCTTCACAGTTGGCAGCAAGGAGCACATTTCATTCCCCAGGCTGCTAAAATAATACAGGAAAATGAACCCTCGTTTTTCTGCTGTACTCAGGCAAGAGGGAGGAAAAAAACCAAAACAATCAAGCTATAGAGATGATGGGTAAAGGGAATGATGTTCTGTCACGATTCAGCTGTACGTACAGCCACTATATTGTGCGTGTTGTGATTTCCCACATACCAACAGGTATATTCAACTAAGTTGGGTGCTAAAGCATTAACCCCTCACGTGGAATATCTAGAAGAACCTGGTCAGAGAGTACTGCACTAACACACTCGCTCTGCAGCTGATGGACTTGGCCCTTCACCTGGCTTTCTAGGTGCCTGCAAAAAAAGGATTACATGGAAGGGTTTTATAGAGCTGAACAAGTACTACCCCTCCAGAACACCAAGCCAACACAATTAAATGCAGGATTTCCTAAGGACTAGTACTTATAAGCTAGGAAATTTTGCTTGCAACTCTTCAGTGAAAATACTGTAAAATTCTACTGTCCGCCACGTGGGTTTCTATGACAAGGACACCTCAAAAGACCAGCTTGATTCACACTTTGGTTCTGAAGCACATCCTGTTACTTAAGATAGTGTTTAAGGTTACTCCCCCAGCATGGAGATTCACACCATCAATACCAAGCAATTAACAGAGACACAACTTGTAACCCAGCAGAAACAACTCTCTACTGGATTTATGCACAGCTAAACGTCCTTTATCCTTTGAATCATCAGATTCAACTCTGGATAGACTTTGGTTTTCTTAACCCAGCCCCTGCACACTGAGACAGCATCACCTGTCCCTGCTTCTGCCTTTTGTACGCTTCTTTTCTATCTTTGAGTTTAGTCAGGAGCTCTTTGTTCATCAATGCAGGGTTCCTGCTGCCTTCCCTTAATTTCACTCTTGAGTTTGGAGTAACCAATATCAGGTATGATGAGAGAAAGTTCTTGGTATCAGAGGTTACAGATCATCCCCAAATTCCTAAACAAAAAAGTCCCAAATATTCTGAATATGTTCCAGACCTATTTCCTTCCATCTCAGAAAATCCTTCTTGCCTACTTTCCATGAGCAAAGGGATGAAATGCTTAAAAAAATTTAAGAAAAAATTTAAGAAAACATGACAGAGAACATAATGTTCCTGGAACAGACTCATCTGACTCCAGAAGCCAAAAATACAAGTGAATAAAAAAAAAAAGAAAGATCAAATATAACAGGTTTTGATATCACATTTCTTCTGACAAACCTACTCGAACAACAATAGATTTTAAATGGATTGGGAAGAGCAGAGGCCTGGAAAGAGAATTCTCCTCTCTGAACAGAAAGGTGCATGTCTGGACAGCTGGAACTGTGCCCACCCATTTATTACTGCAGAAGCAATTAAAGCTGTCCACTTTGGAAACACACTCAGATTTCAGGCTCTGCCGTTTACAAGTAACAGTCCTACACATAAGAAGAAGTGTCTTTTTACATAATCTCTACAATTCACCATTTAAACCGCTCCTTAATGGAAACTAAATCTAATTTTGCCACCGAAGCCGAGTGATGCACAGATGTGTCCCTGGCTGGAAGGCAGATCACAAGGACCAGACCAGGAGATCTCCCACAGAATAAAGCATAATCTCAGTTTCCTGCTGATCAGTGGCTTTTGAGAAAAGCTTTTCTTCCAGGAAGAATAGAGAGTGGAATTTCTTGAAAAGTCAGTGATCCAGGAGAATTTTAGGCCAGGGCTTATGCAAACAGCCTGGTCCTGCTCATTAGCAGCTGGGACACAACCAAGACATACCTTTGGGTTTAGGTTCTTCCAAAAGGAGTCCAGGCTCTGGCAGGGACGTAAAGCAAAGCACGGCACACGGCACGTGGGATGCTCAGCACTTCACAAGCGTATCCCAGTCTGAAGTACAGCTGTGACTGTAGGCACACATTTAGCCTCTAAAAACTTCCTTTGATCTACATATTTAAAAAAAAAAAAACCAAAAAACCACCCCCAAAGTTCTTCGAAGAGTCATTCCCTTCAGAAGCCCCCCATGGAGAGTTCTGTCAGTGTGCTTTAGGCAAAGCTACCAAACTTTAAAGCAAATGCATCAAACTTCAGGGGTTCTTCATGCCACGTGAATGCAAATTTCCCACATGAGCCCATAGTTCTGCTGTGAAAAGACAGAGACACTGATACCACAGTAGGAATCCATCCTGTTTTCCCATAGTCCCTATCTTATCAAAGCCAAAGACAACCAAAGTTAGAACAAGTCACCATCATCTAATGCATAACGGTGTTAACATTAATTACTACTGGGATTTAGATTCCCCAGCAGTAAACTGTCATCACCACTCTTGTAACCCAGGTCAGTGGGAAGGAGGTGACAGGGAACAGATGAACAGAATCCTGCTCTGAAAGCGGCATCAGTCCAGAAGCAGCAACTCAGATCCTGAATTAGACTCTTTTCTAAGCACATGGGAGAGAACTAAACGAAACAGGACACAGAACTGAACTGACTCAAGACATTCCAGGAAAAATTTTGCAACAAAACCACCAGTCTGTTATGTAAGAAAACATTTCTTAGGCCTTTATTTACAAAAGCTTTAAAAACAAATACCCTCTGTTATGCAAATTATTTGTTGTTTAAAAAGGACCACCCAGTTACATCATCAGTAACTCAATGAAAAAAAGGTGTTTGATTTTTTTTGTCGTTGTTGTTGAAGTACAAGGTAAAACAGAATAATTTGGCGAACATTTGGAGATTTGTCTACGATTGATTTCCATGTGGAAGATGCAGCCACAGCCGCAGGCACACAACGTTGCATGTTCCATCATTCCAGGCTCGTTTTTAGCTATTCAACACCAAAAATCCTTCCCGCACCACTGCTCTGTAACACATGCTATGCAGAATTAAGAATGTCCTTTAGGGTCCTTTAAAACAATATATCTAAAATATATTGTGAAGATCTACTCAAAAATAAACTAGCATTACACTCCTCAGGTAACTTTATTAGCTATAAGTTATTTATAATTTTGTTGTTTTACAACAAATATCTGTAACATGTCTTTGTAGCAACTACAAAAAAAGCACGATGTAATTGTCCTTCTAATTCAGTAATTCAATTAAATAGTATTTTTTTTTTCAGATCTTTGGGTTTTATCTTCAACTAAACTGACTTTCAAAAAATCATCAAGTCAAGCACATAATAAATATGACTTCATAAAAAATATCTGAGGTGTACGTTACGAGAATAAAAGCTAAGAAGTTAATCAAGGGAAGTGTGCCGTGACGAAAACTCCTACTATTCCAATAGCCTTCAACTCTCAGCTTAATGGCAAAAAAAACCACGCTAAAGTCACAGCTGTTCTTTTCCTGAAGGGTGTAAAGCTGGTTTTTCAGGCTTCTTTTCCCCCACCACAGAGCGGTTTTAAAGCAGCAGCCGACCAGCAGTCAGCGAGTGCAGGATGGGTCTGAAGACGACCAAAAAAATAACAGCAGTTACTATGATTTCAGTAGTTTGTTTTGCTCGACCAAATGGAGGTTAACACAGTAGATAAGTCATGTTTTATGGGTTGGAGAGGCCAAGGAAACACAGCGTGAAGCTGCTGAGCTTGGCAGGTGATTGTTTTCTAGCTGAGGGCCAAAAAAAAAAAAGAAGAAACCAAACCAAACTTTGAATAAAACAGAGGATCTGACTCAGAGTCGCTCTCTAAAGTGCAAATTTGATGGTCCACAATCTTGAATAGCTAAAACGCCTGCGTACTGGAAGGAACAGACACGAACGGGGAAATTAATTACAATCAATGCCAGTTAATTTGGAGAAGGGAGGGGAAAGAGACAAAAAACCCAGAAGATCGATACAGGTAAGTTTACCAGAGATTATGATTTAAGCTTTCCCCTTCTCTCTGCCACACTGATCCTATACACGCTTCTTTACAAACGGGCTAGTTACAAGGCCAAAATGTAACCCAGAAAATTTTTTACATATCAATATTTTAAGATCAAAATCTGTGATAGGAACAGTCAAATTTAGTACATAGAAAGGCAGAAAAGGAAGTGTGCTGAGAAAGGAGGGAAAAACCACCTTATTGTCCAAGGGGTTCAACCAGAGATAAAACCTATGTACAAGCACGTGGGAGGTGGCAAAGGTGGCCTTTCATTTCATGTCATGACTGTTTGTTGGCTTCTTCTTCATACGCGTTTCCTGTGCCGTTCTGTACGTAAGATGACCCCGACCCGAGGCCGTATAAGTGGCCACAATATTTAGCATCGTCAATGTGATCTTCAAAGAACATCTAAAGAGTTAAAAGAGAGAGACGAATTATTGCCAAAGAAAAGGCTCTGTTTAAATAGAGCTACAGAAAGGTTTTAAAACGTTACTTTCTTTTTAGCGTAACATCTCAAATCCCAAGGTGCAGAAGATGATATAATTGACATAATAACACACTTATTCTCAACACGTTATCAAAATGATAGCACATTTTTATAATGTGATTCTTTAAAATAAATCTGTTGGGGAATACAATCAGTCTTTCCTGATGAAGTGGCCAAATGCAATGTTTTGGTAGTTTTGTATTACTAGTTATCGCTCATTTTTCTGCAAGTGCAAAGATGTTTCCCCAACTGACTCCTGTGGAGTTCCTCAAAACAGGCATCCACTGGGCACCCCTCATGATTGCCCACACTCTACCTGCTCCTCAGTGAGGGGGGTAATCATAGTATGTCTTGAAATGGAGGTATTTCCTGATACGAAGGATTGAGGATGGGGAGAATGTTTTGAGCACAAACCCCATTCTGGAGTTTAGAGAGTCATAGAATGGTTTGGGTTGGAAGGGACCTCAAAGATCATCTAGTTCCAACCCCAGAAAGATGCCTTTCCAACTGGCTCCTCACAGAGGGGGCCTTAGTTTGAAAAGGAACAGCAACATTGAAGTCAATTTTGCACTAAGACCACATTTACACCTTACAAGTCTTAATGACAAACACAACCTTTCAGGGGAAGGTGAATATTCTGATATTTTACCTTTCAGATTTACCCCCATGATATTCTGATATTCTACCTTTCAGATTTAAGATTTCAAGCAAAAACACGAGTGGAAGGTTCTGTGCTGCAGGAACTGAAGGCCTCAATTAAAAGTTTTAAAGCCCAAGAAGTTCTTAAAGAAACCAACAGGTAGGAAAAGCCCAAAACAATAGCTCTACTGTTGGAACATCAGTATTTCTGACAGGAAGAAAAAGTTCAGCAACTTTTTTGGTTGGGACTCATAATCCCAGCAAGTTGCAACTCCTTCATGGCAATTAGTAACACATTTATTAGTTTTGTACCTCTAAAAGTATTGTAAAATGAAGTTTTTCACTCAGAAATACATCGTTAAACAATGAACTCTACTGGAAAGGCTTTAAAAATGCACATTAAATACACTTCTCTCTGCTGACTACTGTGCCCATAGTCAGAAATGCTGTATTTGCAAAGAATCTGATACTGAAATAATAAACAAAAAATCATCATAATCAATCCATCTTTGTTGGCTTCATTAAGCAAATACTTTGCACTAAAAAAATCCTCAAAGATTCCTACTTCTCCTAATAGAAGCTTTTGATAAACAAATTCAAGCAGTTAATTTGCCATGTAACACAAGCTGCATCTCATTAGAGAAACAATCATGGGTTTGAAACTTTTCCTCTTAACTTGAAAGGCAGTATCATGGCACGGTTATCATATGCTTCCTCTTTCCCCCACTTTGCCTTGGATTTTGTTTCAAATTCCTGAGAGAAAGATTAACACCACTGGCCACACTTTTCACCTGGTGCCTCACCAGTATTTGTCAGTAACTGGTGGTCATTTTCTCCTGGGTTACAGCAGGCAGACACCTCCACATACGCTACTAAACCTTATACAATGGTGAGGTTTGCCATTGCCATCCGTTTCGATGTATTAAATGATGCTGAATTGCTGGCCACGTTCGGATGCCCTGCTGGCATCTGACCACTGCAAATGCCTTCCATAAGAGGCCCCTTCAACTTCTGTTTGCTCTGCCTGTGTAAAACATCCTTCCTAAGACCCAATTTCCCCTTGCTGCAAACCTTGAATTAATTAGAGTCTTTTAGGACTTGAGTTAATCGGTGCTTTACTCAACGGTAAGGAACAAATACACAGCCATTCTCCACAGCAGCCTGAAAGTCCTTATCTAATAGACCTGCAGCCTGTGAGTGCAGCTGGAAGTGGCTGGTCCAGATGCTCTTTCCCCCAAAAGGCCTGTCACACACACCAGCTGCGTATTACACTGAGCAGAAGCTCCATGAGGATTTTGGCTTGGGTACAGCCACCCAGAAAGGAGTCTGGCTCCAGCAGCTCATCACTCGCTGCAGCCACCACCCAAAAAAAAGGTGCCCTGCAGAACAGGCAAGGAAAAAACCTAAGATCCCACAAAAAGTCCAAAAGCCAGGCACAGGCTGGAAAGAGGAAGCAATACTCACTCACAACAGCCACACAGGGACCAGTACTCCCCTTACTCTGGGCAAAATACAGGTGGTCTTATTTTTGTCTGAAAGGAGTGACCCCCAAAGCCATTCAGAGACCTCCTTAAAACAGGGCAGACTAAACAGAATCAGCAATTCCATCTGTCAGAGCAGGTTACTATCAGGGAGATGAAGCCAACACATCCACCTACTTCTCTCATTTTGAAAAAGGCCATTCCCGTGAGTAACGAGTCAGATCCCGCCTGATGTTGTGGTCCTATCCTTTCCAGCTCTAACTGCTCAGCCACTTCTTGTAATCCACCCTGAAAAAGAAAACATTTTTGTTAACTGCTGAAAAAAAATCAGAAAATTGAAGAGCTGTATTTGGGAAAATCTGTTACACAAGTCATCCAACCTCGGGTATATTTTAACATCTGCACAGCAGCTGAAACAGTCATTATACTGGATAAATAGACACCTGGGGAATCAAATATCCAGTATCAATAGCAATATTAAATTTCTGCATCAGTATTGATTAAATATTAGATTTCTGTGTCAGTAGTGATTAAATAAAACAGTATCTGTGACCAACAAAACTACTCCTCCTTCATGTTTCAGCTTCTCCAGTAATGAGCAGTATCTGTGACCAACAAAACTACTCCTTCATGTTTCAGCTTCTCCAGTAATGAGATGTCATTACTTAACAAAGTTCCTTCAGGATGCGGAAAGGACTGGTGATGCTGAAGAACAAAACCAGGTGTTCCTGTCCTCCTCCTATTTGAATCAAAGTTTAAAAGGTAAAAACCTTGTTCTACAAACACAAGAATTCAAGTGCTTACAAATGAGATGCCCATATGCCTCCACGTGTTAAAGTACCCAAGCTTCCTTTGAAACAGACCTTTTTCTTTCCACTTACCTTTCAACAATCAAGTTGAGGGTTTTTCCACTTTCCTTGACAAAAAGTGAGAGTATCCTGAAGTACCTAGAGCACTATAGAGAGTCTAGCAAAATGTTACACAGCAGCCATTTAGAAACCAGGTGGTAAAGTCAAAAAAAGAAGGAAGTGCCCATTCTGTCTCTACAACACATTCTACCTCTCTTTAAAGTTGTTTCATTACCTGCTGTAAGAAAACAGGGGAAAAAAATGCCAAAAAAAAAATCCATCCTTTTTCAACTAGCTTTTTAATACTAAAATCCAGTGGTGTAGCCAGCTTTTCTGTTAGAGATGTATATGTAATGGTCATATATGTAATGAAACCTACTTCTTGAAGTATATAAACATCTCACATACATGCAAAAAGGGGACAATTTAAAACACTGTCTGCTTTGAATGTTGATTCAAGGTTGAAAAGGACAGACTGCGAAGCTGTAGGCATCGCTCCAAACCTGAAAATCTGTCTGCTCTTCAAGGTAAAACATCTCAAATTTTCTTCCCAACTAGCAGAGTGACTAAATAAACCTCTTTTCAGTGCCCCCCAGAATGGTAATAACCACACGTGGAAGCAAACCCGTCAGAAGTGGGTTTGGTTTTACATAGGTAACAGATCAGGTGAAGGAAAGATGTATTATCCTGTAACCACAATCTTCTAATGCTGTAAGCTATATAATTTTGTACCTAAACTCTTTTTTTATAATCACTAAGCCATAAAGCTACTGTAAATAGACTAATGCAGATGCTTAAACATCTAGAAAGATAAATAAAAAAAGACAAAATCTCTTGTGCTGCCATAAGCTTTGCAAGGCAAGAATGTTGCAGAGAGGCAATGAATGCATTTTAAAAAGACTGCCAAGTATCCAAGTTCACTTCCCTCACACTTTTAAGCCACTTAAAGTACAGGAAGGGAAGCAATAAGAGGCAAAAAGCTAAACAATCAAAGTCAAAACTCATGTGGCAGTAAAAATAAAGTCTGACCTGAAAGTCAGGCCAAGTATTATGAAAATTCCTGCGAGTCTTATGGCTTGGGTCTGGGTTTTTTGTTCTGTTTAAAAAGCTGGAAGCTTCAGTAATCACATTCCCAGTAGCACCTACAAATCAACACCGATCCCTAGCAGTGGTATGGCTAATTTTATTCTGCTTGAGCAGCAGGAATAGAGTTTACAGAAGTTTAAGATACATCCATACACTGTACAGATAAGCACTGAAGGAAGCTTGTTTTCTTTACGTGCTTGGATACCACATTTAGACACTACAAAGACGCTCAGTTCTTTATTTTACACTCACAAAACTATGCTGAGGGTGGGTGTGCAGGGGAAATAGTGCATCTCAGACACAAGTATGTTCTCCACTTTCTAACTCCAATAACGAGCTGTTCATTAACAACAGCAGTTAAGCCCATGCACTTTCAAGGCACAATTTTCTGCTCCTAAACCCTCTACTCCCTCAAACTGCAAATTAGCAGGGCCTCATTGTCAGGTTTTGCCAGCTGTAGGACTGTCTACTCCAGCTTCAAACAACTGTGCAGAAAAAACACTCAAGAATAAAAATAAGTAATATTTACACAGCAGCTGCAAGCTCTGGAATGTAGACTTTGTAATTCAAAATTTACAGTAAGAGCAGCCTACAGAAGACTGCTTTGAAAACAGTGTTTTTAATGGTATATATCTATTTGTAAATACATCACACACCATTTTGGTGTGGAACTTCTTGGTCTATGCAATAATTGCAGAACAAAACCTGGTTGCCTCTGAAAATTAATAGTCTACTGAGATTCTCTTTCAGGTAAGACTTTTGTACCCCAGATAAGAACATTTAACTCTTGGAGGAGGAGGAGGAATTCTTTTCAATTTTCAGAGGATTGTTCTTTAGAGGAAGAGGTCACAGAATGATTTACATAATTGGCCACAGTCAACTGCAAACCCAGTTCAAACTCTGTAAGTTTCACAGCACTGGTACCAGAGCTCATTGTTCTGTACAATCCTCCATATTAAAAGCAAGTTTCCAATCAGGTCTGTAAATCCACATCACTGAGAGTGGCTGTTACTATCAAAAGGTCTGCCATTTACACAGAAAGATTTTTAGAAAACAGCCAAGAGTTTAACCACTACTAGGTTAATACCTCAAGTTAACTCCCAATCTGTGTGCCGGTGAAGTGTCCTCATGTCCATCTGAGTTAAAGTAACATACTGTAAATTCACAAACCACTTTAATTCCACAAGAAGAGCATAAAACAGCTCCCTGATCCTCAAGCGTATTTCTCTTCTTAATTCCCCAAAATTCTTTTCTAAGTGCATGGGGTAGTGAGTAGGGGACCCTACAGCAATTTAGTGACTTTCATATGAAAAATAACTCAGACAAGGCAATAAAGGACAACTGCACAGCAATTCACTGCTATTTAATGAGGACTGGAAGTGACAGACATTAGGTGACCGTGGATGCATTTGTCGAGTCATAACACTGAATATTTAGCAACTTGTTTGAGGCAGCTGCTCTCAGTACAGTACAAGTCCACCTGCACTTCATCACTGGTAAATCTGGAGGGGCAGGGAATTCCACATCCCTTCCCTTCGGTCACCACCACCCCACAGCTTGGGTGACAGGGACAACTTACTGCAGGAAAGCTGACCTACAGCTCTGCAAAAAACATAAACCACCCTTGTTCTTAATGGTTTCGTAAATAAGACCTGTGGAGGTTTTGTCTTAAAAAAAAAAAAAGATTACTCTCTCTAAACAATGCAGGTTACACAAAACTACGTCTTAACAAAATGACAGGAAATATAACCCCCTCCTCCCTAAGCCCACTGGAATGTCAGTCACCTCTGGGATGGTGACACAGAACTTCAATCTGTCACCTTTCCTACATCACTAAAGCTGGCTTATACAGTCTGTTATTGCTAAGTGTGTCGTCACCACTAAGACACCAGATGCTTTACTTTGCTCCACCAGGAGAGAGAGAGAGAGAGAGTGTGAGGTGTTAAATTTGTTTGAGGTTCCCCCTCACCCCTCCTTTAAGACTCCTGAAGTTTCCGAACATTTTATTTTTATTTCTGGCCTCTGTGGAGGAAAACTCTAATCCGATGTCTAATACTCAGCTATTTTCTCGGTTGATTATACCACACAGGTAGGTAGGTAGATTTTTTGCACTAGCTGGAAGGGAGGTCTCCATTTTCAACATTAATTTGATTAACAAAAGGATTTAGAGACCTTACTTCCCACAAAAATAAGCTAGTACTTAGAAGTGACACGCTCTATTAGTTTATCTCAGAAAGAAACAAAAGGACTATAACCCCCCACAGATCACTAGTTGAGCGCGACGAAGCGACGAGCCATTCCTTTGCCAGGATTTGGTTGTGTTACAGTCAGCGTTCTCTTTTTCCTGCAGGTTCTCATTAAGAAAGCCCAGAGAAAGGAGTCACCTTCCATAAAAGCAGCGAGTCATTAATTGCCTCAGATGAGCGACGCACCTCATTCCAGCAGCAGGTCCAGACTCTTACAGCTCTTTGGCAAGTAAAGCTCTTACAATCCCTGTAGCGTCTTTCTTTCACTTGCCGTCTTCCCCTTCACATACTTAGTTCCAGTTTCCATTCCTTCTCCAGTCCAATAAAGCATCCGCATTTGATGGCTGACAGAGTGAGCCAACCAGTAACCCCGCTGGCCTGAGATTAGTTTCTAGTACTGCATTTTATTTTTTTTCCTAGGAGTCACATGTTGTCCCTGCACATGTGCTGCTGTTTATCTTTCCTTACGGGGCCATCTGACACATCCTTCACTCCGTTCCTCTTCCCAAGAGGCTTCCACAGCATCATCGGTGCCATTGCCTTTGCCAAGGCGCCCGCAGTCCGTTAGTGGACTGCGCAACGAGGAAATAAAGAGTATACGAAACCCATCAATTCTTAGGGCTCAAGCAGCGAAGGCTCAATTCCAAACATGAGTTTATCAGCTGTCAGCACTATAAATACAGTATTGACAAGCTATTTTTAACTGGTAAACAGTTAAAAAAAAAAATTTTTTAAAAATTGGTGTGGGCTCCTGCCTGCCTCTATTAATAGCCTTTAACATTAACTATCTAAAGTGTGAGACAACAAGGCTGTTTTATGGGTATTATCAAAGTAGAACGAGAAAATAAAAATACAGAAAGTATTTTTTTTTCTTTAGGAGAAAGTACTCTCTCTCCAAACCCAAAATCTGTTCTGAGCCAGTAACAGATTACCTACCTTCAGATTTTTGCAGCTCTTCATGAGATATTTTACATCGTAGATGACAGGGAAAAACAACCGCAGTATCTCAAAGAAGTCCAGCTCTTCTTCAGGTAAATTAGAATTTGTCAGGATTTTGATTAGATAGCCAAAGTCATATCCGCTGCAAATTAATAACAAAAACCAACATAAGCAAATAACTTAGAAGCCTCCTCACTTCCAACATCAAGACTTTATTACACATCAACAGGACATTTTCCGTAATTTCAGTACAATTGAAACTGACTCTCACAAAAGACTAAGCTTCAGTGTAAATGGCCCCATTGCAGCTTTCAGAAAAACCATTTTAATTTAGTCGCAATGAGGCCAAGTGAAGAAACAGAAAAGACCTGCCCAGAGGAGCTTCTCCAAATCCTGAACCAAGACAGTGCTGCTGGGGCTCCGTCTGATAACAAGAACTTAAACCAGAAAGACTCTGAGCTGGTTCCTTCCACACAGACTGGAGTTTCTCACTACAAACCAAACAAGACAGAGACACTTCTACAGTTCTTGAAATCCAGAGGATCCCTGAGTTTCCAGAGCCAACGTGTTTATGGCTGGAGGCAAGTTTCACCCTATAGTTCTTGAAATCCAGAGGATTCCTGAGTTTCCAGAGCCAACATGTGTTTATGGCTGGAGGCAAGTTTCACCCTCAGCATAGAAAAAGAGCAGATTTTCTTTCAACTTTCTCAATTAAATCTGCACACAGACCACTGAAACATTTAATATTTTGTAGGCTATTACTCCTTTTGGAGGCAAGGAAAGAGTAAGCTGGAAAATTTTTTGTGTCCACATATCAGTCAGCAGGAGGCAGCAAGATAACTGAGCAGTGAGGATTGGGAGAGGAAGCTGAGGTATTTTATATAGTGTGTGTATGGGAGAAAAGAGTTTGGGAAAACTTTCTTCTCAGTAGCTTGGCTGAAGAAAAGGACATAGGAATGAGGTGTGGAAGTAAAAGGGAAATCGTACTTGGTAAAAGGGTAATGAGAGGCAACAGAGAGTTTAAGTCATAGGGAAGGCAGATGTCAGGTATTGAGGAGGACCGAACAGCACAACAAAAAGCAGCAATGACTTGTTATCCTTTTCCCTTGGAAAATCTGTGCTGGTGTCAGGCAGGCTGGGCTCTAATCGAACGACAAAGGCAGAGATTACAAGTCAGATTATTCATGATCTGATGATGAATCTGATCCGTTCTGATCCCTTGTACTCACAGGATTGCTCATGCACACATACACCAAACTAAATGGGGGACCAATGCAGTATCTGGTTATTAGGTTTCCATCAAACCAAATCAGTTCCTAGATTTTATTGACATGCAATTTTAAAAATCTCTGTACTAACAAAGATGATGGAAACACACAGCAAGTCTGCCTCTATTGAAGGCTGCATCGGTTTCGCTGCTTACGGAACCTCAGCCTATAGCTGAGAGACAATTCAAGCGGAAGGGGTGGCCACCACAGACTCCAAACTCTCAGTTTAGGACTTTGTGTTCGTTCTTGGTTACATGAGGACCACATCCAAAACCAAGAATTTTGTGACTTTGTCAATCTTAACTGAGATCTTTAACTGTGAGATGAGCACTACAGAAGACAAATGAGTTAGGAGCACTGTGCTACTGATCCTGTGGATATTTAGCACCCACAAAGACTGGCGACTTCTAATGCAGGCTCAAGGCTTTAGCTTGAACACCCCATGTAAAGAGGATTGCTTTTTGTACCTTTTGTATAGGATGGGATTCTCTACAACATCTTTATCTTATTAATTTCTAGTCAGGGGCCAGAAAACGTTGAACATAACTGGGAGTGAGCGGATTGTTTGCTAAAATTCCATTAATACAAGATGTAGGGAATATTGCAGCTCTCCCATGGGGGTTTTCCAGTGCTCTCTCTAAACAGGAATTTCGTGTTGAATGAATCCCGCGCTGCATCTGGAGCTTTGAAGCTGCGCTGGCAGCACTCCCATCTCCACAGCAGCAGCCACTGGCCAGGGAGCAAAGGAGCCAAAGATAAAGAAGGATTTCAGCTGAGTCTTACAAAGTAAAAACCTGCACTATACTTGGAAAAAACAATAGCTTAGAAGCTTAATTTTATTAGATCAACTATGAGGAGGTAAAAAAAAAAGTGGCGGGGAAGCCTGTATCAGCATAAAGCCCTCTACAGAAAGAGGAAATTAAAAAGTCACACTGGCAGAGAAAGCCATCCAGAAAGATGCAAAAAAAGACTGTTCAGGATTATGGGGATTTATTCCTCTGAGGTTAGAGAGCTTACTAACTCACTCAATTCCTGACATCTGTCATGCAACATCCGTATTAAAATTTCTGAAGAGAAAAAACACACTATTTGTGCTCCTCTTAAAAAAAAAAAACAAAACAAAAAACAAACTTTGACTCCCCTCCTCTTAAAAAAAAAAACCAAAACAAAAAACAAACTTTGACTGCCCTCCTCTTAAAAAAAGACATAATTATGTACATGACTGAATTACTAAAACAAATGCTCTCAAACGCTTCCAGTTTCTATTAAGAAGGAAGTACTATAAGAAAAGTCAAGATTCATTTACTATTTGTACTGAGAGGAAGCAGGCTATCGTAAATCTGCAATTTTGATGAAGAATCATATATATATATACACACGTGTTATTTTCCCCCTGGAGATTGTAGCAGATTCTTTCATTCTAGGATCCTCCCACAGAAAAAGGGATTCAACAGGCACAATTACCCTTCCATGGCAAGACAGCATTCAGTCAGATACCAGTTCTTGGGTCAGTTTTGATCAGCTCAACCAGGTGATGTCTCACATTTCTTAAGTTCCAGCTGCTTACACTTAGTCCCATTTGTGCTCTTAACAATCATCACCAGCCACACTTTACTGATCACAATGCAGTATATCAAAGCATTTCCATCATCTTTTGAGTATTCTTTTTGGGGCTAATATGCCCCATGCATCCAAGCTTAGAGAGAGATGAGAACTGTCACCCCCATTCCAGACTAAGACACATCTAGCTCAAAAATTTTTGAGTGGCCACTGCTGAACGCTAACAGAAGGGTAAGAAAATCCACAGTGAGCAATTATGTAATTACGTGCTCATTAAAGAAGTTTTCTTCTAATCCTCTAACAGGCAATTAGTGGTTGGTTTATAACCTGAAGCACATCAGCTTCCTGTCCTTAAAAAGCTTTCACCATCCCTGGAGCTACACAGCAACAGAAGCACCCTTACAACCACTTTCCTCCCCCCACTTTTTTTTTTTCCCCTCACTGAACAGACAGCTGTAGATAACAAGACCACGGTAAAGATCAAACAGGCCTGTATTTCTTTCCCTTATTATCCAGATAGCCAATTAACAATTCATTCTACTCCAGCACCAACAGACTCTGAAATAAATCAAAACCTGCCAGAGCTGAGAAAGCTTCTCTTCATTTTATAACTGGCCAACAGAAACGAGCCAACAGATTAAATTTAACTAAAATCAGTTAGGCACAAATGATTATTGAAATACAATAGCTTGGAACTTTCCAGCTTCCCCCAAACATCTGGGTTGAGAGGCATGTTTGCACAGAGCCTCCAAAGGTAGGCTGAGGAGGCTGCACACAGGTGGACACTCAAAGCTTCAGCAGATCAGTCAAACAGCCACAAAAAACAGCGTTTCAGCTGTTCTGCTTTATAACTTGTTAAGCTGCCAAGCACTCACAGCTCCTTCAGCTGTGACAAGAATCAGAAATCCTGGGCTTCACCCCCCTCCTCTCTCATCAACTCAAATACATTTTAACACACACAAAAGAATTTGATGGAGTGGCTAAAGTTGTGATATACGAGAAGCGGTGACACTGCAGAACTGCAGGTCCACCTAGATTTGCCAACAGGTCCGGGTGCCAAGGCAGCAAACGCGAGAGGTAAAAAGCACACAAAGAAAACTATTTGAGAAGTCAAAAGCTTAGAAATAAACTCCGTAAGAGTTCAAGGAAACCAAAGGCCGGGTAAAGAAACAAAACCAAAACATAACCTCACACTCTGGGAAAGGAGTAATTTCCCCTCTGCCCACTTCCTAAGAGACTCATCAATTTTGAGGGTTAGTAGCAATTAAAGCATTTTAAGGAAACAGAAGCACTAGCAGCACAGTCAGCAACCCCCAAGCATGGCTTTTTCGGTATTCAAAGAACTACTGCATGGAGAGCCCACAAGAAACAAGTTTTCAACTCAGCTGTCCCCGCTGTTTAAGTTTCCACTGGTAGAACACAACCACAATCATCTGAAGATATATTTAGAAACAGCTGTTTACTATTCTTTGGGACACATTTTATGTGACCCACGCTCATTTATAGCTTCGTGCAATCTTAGCTTCCCCTGAACTTAACCCCCTGGTTTGTACTCAAGACAGTATCAATGTGCTCTGTCAACCACAAAGGCCTTTAAACACTCTCTGACTTCAAGCAGAGTTGTGGATCATCAGTGTTTGACAAACATTTGCTGGAATAGCTGCCCTAAGAGGACTTCTAAAGATGTTTTCAATGAAGCCCACAACAGAAACTTGTTTTAGCACAAATGAAACCTGGACTTTAATGAAGCCATTCCAAACACCCTTCATAAGCCACACTAGTAAAAATGGCATCACTGCACAGTTTGCACTACACTTTGACCAGTGTATTAGTCAGAGATCACACAATCTATGCAATTAGGCTTTCAAAAGCCTCTCTAGTGTACAAATGGTATGCTTTTGCTAGGACAGCTTACACCGGGCTCTTAAACTTATTCAGTGATACTGGAAAAACACTGTTTTGCAGCTGCTGCTACGTGGTGAGATGGTTCCCTTCTCCTGAACCATCCGAGCTATTTGACTGCAGTCAAGTGTAAATCACAGATATCCATTTAACAGCCCATAATAATGGGTTTAAGAAGCTGTAATAAACTTAATTCCCTATTTCAGCCTTTGTAGATATTTTGACACTGTTCATGGCACTCTTGTTCCAGTATTTTTCCTCAAGGTGTTACCCCAGTAAGATTATTCTGGAGTCATACTGTGAGTCAAGACAGCTGCGAGTGGAAGACGCAGGCAGATTAGGTGACAAACATACTCAAAGAGGATCCTCCTTTTTATTTTTGTTGTCATTGCCAGCTGCCTCCCCCCCTCCTCCCCCCCCACCTCCTTTTGGAAAGTCAGTCTAACTCTCACTCTCTACAAAGCAAGTCAAAATCCTGCTGCAGGCCTTTCTACTACTGTTTTATGTTCCTGGCTGAAGCAATCCTTATTTTTCAGTTGGTTAACATCATAAATACTTCTCTAATTCCATGTGACTCTCTCTCCTCCAACCTCCCCTCCAAGATTTAATGCTAAAGGATAAAGAACTCGGTTTGTTTTGGTTTTTTTTCTAGTTTCATCAGCTACATATTACCACCCACCAACATAGCACGCGTGATAAGAATAAGGCTGTAAGGAAACTACTAGTCTCAGCTCAAACATTTGCTCTACTTTTGTTCACTTGCTTTAGCAGCCAGCATTTAAAATGTCAACTGGAGGGTATTACGCAGCAATAAGCCTTTAAAGCCACTGTTGCTCACAAAAAGTGCAAATTATCTCTGGCACGTAGTTGACTATACAGTGACAGCTACATCTTACTAACACCCGAAGATCTTTTGTATCTTGACAGATTCATAGAGATTTAGCATTTGCATTTCTATTTCTACTCAGAAGATGAGCTCCTGTGATGGAGTAATAGTAAAATACATTCATTTCTGCAGCTAGAATTAAGGCTTATCAGGGCTCTCCTCACAAGCTGAGTAATTTTCAGCTGCCCAGATTACTCGAAGATTTAAAACAAATTTAGAAGTGCTTTATAAAACTCTTTGCTGCTAATTCTGCAGTCTCTCCCACAAGAAACAATATTTGCTCAAGAAATGCTTAGGAATAGTTTGGTTTTATCACTGTTCCTAACGCTACTTGCATGTGCGATATTAAAAGATACAATGCCACCTGCTGGCTTTGGAGTTTCATGTTTTTCTGGTTTAGCATTTTCTGATTACAGCATAAACACAAAATATAAAACACCAGTACCATTCTGTACGCTCTATTCTTCTAACAGGGAATGGTGCTCTAGGTATTAAAGCAGAAAGTTTTCTACATCTTACCAACTGAAAAATGTGCTATATACACCACCAGATGTATACCAGCCAACACACCAGATGTTAAATCTGGGCTCTACAAGTCAGTAATTTATACTGAAAACTCAAATGCTTAAGGGGCAGAATTTACCTGTGAAAGGAAAGCCACTTGACTCCTTCACACAGCACAACTCCTGATGTCATCAGCAGTTCTGCAAAGTACTGTGTCTCGATTCCTTCTTCCTCGTGCTTTTTGAACTGGATACCAGATGTTGTCAACAGTTCAATAGAGTCCTGGGCATACATATCTTCTCTAAAAACAGAGAGAGGAAAAGTAAATTTTCAAAGTCCACAAAACCTCAGTGATTATAAACCTGGTAACATTTCTGTTGTGTTATTCATTCCACCGACTTCACTAGCATAGAGCAGGGGCAACTCGTCTTTGTTCCAGGTTCATTAGAAAACCAATCATTTTTCATAGCTTTTGTTAACCTCCACTGGCATTTCACTATTCCTTGCGTCTCCATTCTCACCTCTTTCATAAAGAAAACTAGTTCCTGCTCCTAGAGTTATCTAGAACTCCCCTTTTGCAAATCTACAGAGGGAAGTGAATGTGAGAACACAGGTATTTTACCAAATAAGATCCATTACCTGAACTGTGACAAATTAAATACAACAGCTGAAGCACTAACACGCTCCATTACAGAACGAGGAACAGCACTCTCCAGATCCCAGTGCTGTACTTGTTCTGTGGGTATCATTTCCCACACATCCCTTGTGGTTTAAGCTTAAGTAAATGTTTAGACACATGCTCATCAAAACTTCATTCTCACTACAACTGGAAATTGAATACTTGCTCCATGTAGTCAATACTTAAAATTCAGGTAGTCTAACGTTGTCTTTCAAAACAACCAACTTCAACGGCCATATTTTGGACCTTAAATGTAACAGGATGGAAAAAAATTCCTCTATGCCTTGTTTGATCACCTCTTATCCCTTTATTTATTCCCTTTAGCACTAACATTTTTCTAAAGTCTTAGGGATTTTGTGATGAAATGGATGTGGGTTTTTTCCTAAAGTTTAATCTACATCATCATAACAAAGATACAGAACAGTTAACTGGGAAAAAAAGCCAACACAGCTCTACTTAGGAGATGATGTTCATATTACTGTCCACTACATACTATTCTACAGTCTCTTCAGTGTATAGTTTTGAATTTTAATTAAAAAAAACAACCAAAACACAAAAAATAAAACAGACAAGACAACCAATATATCAAACTTGACTACTGGATTCAGTCATAGACTTATATTCCTTATTCCTAATAGCAAGTCATCATTCATCAGAACACGGAGATACATTCTCAAGATGTGTTATATCTTTTTTTTCCTCCCTCCCACACAGCTGCTCCTTAGTTCTCCAGCTTTAAGGCATCTGCTTTCCAACACCTGTCCATCTCTGTAACACATTAAAGAACCCATCCAAAACGAACAAGCCTGTTTTACAAAAAGAAGTTTTAATTCTGGTTTGTTGCTCTTCGCTAATCAGGTGGATAGTTAGTTTAGAGAAATATTTATGCTCTTTAAAAGCACATTATAACAAGACCTGGCTGGAACCACACACAAAAAAAAATTACCCTCCAGGAACAGCCAACAGCTGTTTTCCTTCAGGAGCGTTAGACTTGGCACAGTGCCACTTCCCAAAAGGAAACAGACAGAAATAACTAATTTCTCCATCCATGTAAAAACAAGTAATATTTGAGTTCCATGCAGCGCTTAGCTCACTTACCTTTCTGTATAAAATCCCTCCCAGTGAACCAGTAACAAGTTAGTTAGGTGACTCCCCACACCTTGCCTCACCAAGCTGCCTTATCTATGCTGCATCTGGCACAAGTGGATGGAAAACTACTTTTGTTTTCAGTTGCTTGGCTGACAAAGCTCAGAAAATAAATAAAACAACAGAGGCTCTTCTCCCCAGATCACAGTTTGGGAGTTATCCATCCATTCATTCTTCTTTCTCCCATACTTAGCAGGATTAGTATATTGTTCTACTAAGGCAATGGATAACTTCCATCCAGCATTTCTATAGCCAAGTAAGTTTAGAGATACAGAAATACCATATCTGCACTTCCATTTCTTTCAAGACGTGCTTCAAACAAAACTAAAAAGACCTCAGCTCCTCAGAGCAAACTGATTTGTGACAAGCCACAGCACTGCTTGTTTAGAAAAGCAGATAAAGAGCCAGCAGATTTTTTTCTTTGTAAGAACCCTGAGTACTTTAAAAACAGGTCTTTTTATCTGCAGAAAGAAAGGTCTGTTCTCTAAACCTCCCGTGTAGGCTGCAGTTTTAACTCAGGTCTATCGAGCTGCCCAGTGATCAGCTTGTACCACAACTGCCAGAAATCCCCAGGCCTTCAACACATTGCAATTTGAGAAGCGTTTGCACTGATACTCAAATCAGGATGTGTGAAAACCTATCAGACCAATTATGTTTATTTCAGGCAAAAAATTCAAGATCCTAGTAATCTCGTCAACCACCTGCTAAAGATATAATTAGAACTCCACAGAAGCATCTCATCCCACTGGAAAAGTTAGGTTTACACTTAAAGGTTTGTCACTGATAAAAATCACACTGTGAAATAAAGTTCACAGTGCTATTCCAATAGTTAGCAAAAAAAACAGCTTGCTTTTTAACCAACACTTCACACAAAATAATCCAGAACAAAAATCTCCACAGGAGCTGTGCTGTAGAATCAATAATCCCTTTCAAACTATTATAAAAGAAAGTGAAACTATAGTTAGCAGAGTAAGTTGCTTTGAAAACACAAGAAAAGCTACTGGAGTATTAAAAAGTTAACAATATTTTCCCTAGAATATTATCTAGAACTTTTTGTGAGTCTTTTAACAAGAACAATGTTATTTTAAAGAGGACAGAGCACACTTGCTTTAGAATACGCTGATAACATTTGCCAGGCTTCTTTTTAAATCACTTTGGTAAGTTTACATTTTTTTCTTCACGTTGGTATTTTCCATTTAAAAATATGCAAAGAAACTACACGTGACTTCTCTAACAACTTGTAGGAGTTAAACTAAAGTTAAGGTGAAAGCACTACGAAATGCTAAATATGAAAATGCAGAGCTAACTCTTGCACTAAGCACAAATGCCTTCATTTAAAATCTTTATTGAAATTGCTTTGCATTTTTTGATCAAATTGCCAACTGTAAGATGGGCTGCACTGAAACAAGGGAAGAAAGCATATGTTTAGCTGACAAAATTTTTCCTTGCACAAAGCACCTATGGTATTCCAATCTTATAGATAAAAAAAAGAGTTGCTACAGCTTTCACAACCTAGAGTACATTTTCAGCGCATCAGAAACGTACATTCAAAAGCACAGACATTTAACACTTACGTTAAATTAAATTTAAAATTGAATTGCCAAGTTGAAGTCCCTGGAGGGTATTCGCCTTGCTCGTTCATAAATGTCAGTCCTAGTTGAATTATTTTTAGCAAGTCTACGTTGCAGCGTAGTAACTGGTACTGATAGTCTGCGTTGCTTCGGAATTCTCCAATAGGCCTTGCAACTACTCCTGGGAATTCTGTGTCCTGTAAGAATAGGGTTAAAATGTCAGTAAGAGACACCCGTAAACGTTTATGTTGCTCATTTTTAATAAAACATATTTCAAGCATCTAAGAGTTTCACAGCTGAAGAGTACTGTGTGTAAATTTAGCTTTTAAAAAGGTTAATAGATTAGGATCCTAACGTTCATGCAGTTTAATTCAATGTTAAGAATCCATTATTCTTCTAAGGAAAACGGATAAACAAGTTTATAGCTTCAATTTACTCACGTCAAATGAAGACATCATGCTTTTTGCAGTAATTTGCTAGATAAAGCCCAAGCGCCCACTTACCATAGCTACATAGTTATACTTCCGTATAACCTGCCGTATTTTCTTCATCTCTTCATCCAAGTTACAAGCCCAAACTTCACAGATTCTTTGGCTATGGTCTACGGTAGCTGCTGGCATAGTGGGGGGCTTTAGAGACCAGACATCAAAAGTTACACTTGACTGAGGATCAGTTTCATAAAGAGGACTTTATTTGGTTTTTTTTTTTCTTTTAACCTAAGAGACAAAGAAAGTATGAAAGTGTAAGTTTTCATGCTTCATTTATCTGAAAAAAAAAAAAAAAAAAAGAAAACCAAAGGAAAACTAAAGATGTAAACACCGGGATCAAGCTTGATTCTTCAGGTTTTCATAAAAGCAGCCCTCCAAAACGGGGTGAATTTCAGCTTGTGTGGGTTCCGAACTATCCAAAAGCAAAACCGTAGCAATTTAAGACAGGATTAACTTTACTTCTTGCACAAAGCCAGGCAGAGGGGCAAGGCGCCCCAGCCCAACAGCTCCCGGCCAGGCCTGAGCCCACAGGCGTTATTCCCTGCGCGCCCACCCCGCAACAACCAAAGCGCGGGGAAGGCGGACTCGGGGAGGCGGGGACCCGCAGCGGCCTCCCCGGGCTGCAGAGCCCCTTCCCGCCCGCCCGGCCCGCCTTACACCGGAGCGGGCCGGCGCACAAGGCCCCAGGAGCGCTCCGAGGAGCGGCCGAGCCCGCCAAAACACCCCCCGCCCCCTGCGGGCCCTCACGGCGGCCGGTAAGGCCGCGGGGCCTCGGCGGGACGGAGGGGAGGAAGGCCCTCGGCTCGCTCCCCGCCCCCACGCCCCCCCCCGCCCCGGTCTCTCAC